ATAATCTTATTATTTAAGCTTTTTCTATTATTATTCAGTAGAGTATCCAATACGAATCTAACTATAATTTTTCTAATTTTTGATCACGAAAGCCTGTAATATTAATATAACTTCCTGCAAAATTACTTGTAGTAGAATTTTATATCACCAAATTCAACAATGTTAGAACAGTATGACTAATACACCATGCTAATCCTAGTAAAGTATTAAAATTTGGTATTAAAATGTGTTGTGTTAAAATAAGCAAAAATGATTTCTGTTTTATGCCCATTTTAATAATAAGCAACATAGAAAATACCACAAATGGCGCGGTAAACGCCATCTGTAATACGATGCTACATTTTAGGATTACGTATGCCCCAACAAGGTCCACTTCTTCTTATTTTAATAAGTAACATATTTAATGTACAGAAATACATTTAATTTTATATCTTTTTGGTGTTATAGCAGAGCATATTCTTCGTCCATTTATTTTTTCTGCACGAATAAAACATTAAAACATCAGGCGTGCGGCTTACATGACGCACAACGTGTTTAATCACATTATGAAATCTTTCAGTTCCACGGAGATTTCTTTGAATTATCTTTATCCTTATGAGTTGCAATTTTCAACAGGATAGATAAACGTAATTCGGAGTCACGACAGTCATATAAAAATATGATAATGACAAAATAAAACAAAGCACGTTCACATAGTGCTGAACCCCATAAAACGTGTAAATGGACACGTAGAAGAGTTTCATGCTTATTATCATAAAAAAAAAGAAACGTAAGTCAATTAATCTGAAACAAAAACTATAAAATTGTTGTAAAAGTAATCCTTAGCTTAAAAAAAAAACAGGAACCACATAAAGATTTAACCTTGAATATGGACTATCAAAATTTTTATGTTATACACGTGTCCAAGCAGTTGACTGATGACCTTATGATGATGATGATGATAGATTCGTCTGTAAATATTTTCATAACTGACAACTAGTACGCATTTATTGTCTGTTAACTTCATACAATAATATTATAAAATAATATATTGTGTGTATTTTGCTCTATGCTGCATCGCTGTAGGGCCCTAAAAACTTAGAACCTCTAAGTATATAGAAATTGTTTCAACCTATTCAGTTCTCTTCAAAAAAGATTAATTAATAAAAAAGGCAAGGATGACTAAGACCCAATATCCGCCTCAGAATAAAGACAATTATATTGAGAAAAGACTTTTTCTTAAATTGGTTCAATAATGGCCAAATTATGTCGATAACTGGCATGAATGCATTAAATAAGCAAATTTTTTTACCAATCAATAAACAACTACCAATTTTTAAAATGTTCACTTGATATTTACAGTACAAATTCGCCACATGTCGTATATGTTTATCTTTGTGACATCATTTTCCACCCATTATGTAATGTTAACACAGATTGGAATAAAGAAGGTTAGTGATGATTAAACATATATATGAAATGCAGATATCCAATAATAACAAACGATTAAACACGAA